GGGGGGGCGGCCCGAGGCCGCCGCGGGGTCACGTGGGGCGGTAGGCGGGGGCCTGGGCCGCCCAGGGTGTCTCCAGTGGGCTCCCAGCGGGTGACCCCCCTGCAGGGTGAAGGGGTGGCCGGGGGGTCGCCAGGAACGGCCCCTGGATGTTCAGGGGTCCCGGAGGGCTGGGACTCACTTTGGGGAACCCCCCTTAGGACACCCGATGGCATGATTCCCTCTCTAGGAAGCAAAGTGTCCCTCTTCCCGGTGGGGAGGGTCTTGCTTTTCCCTTACCTCTCCATCAGGGCAGAGAGCTCTGTTTGCCCCCAACCCAGTCGCATTTTTTGCCCGCCCGCCGGGAAGAAAGGACTTTGGGAGGAAAACAGCCTTTTTTCTTGAGCCTGCAAAGGGGGAACCCTTGCTACCAGAGTGGCCGAGCACTTAGGCGAAATGGGGAGGGTGGGCACAGGGTCTGGCTCTTTTTGATGCTTCCGGTGGTCTCTCTGTGGGAAAGAGGGGAGGGTCCCACCACTGTGTTTTGAGGCATGATGATACCATGGAGGTGTCACATGCCGTTGTGACTGACCTCCTCAGCGCCTTTTGTGGCCTCCCCAAGTCCTGGAGAGCAGGAGGCCTGTAGAATGGGAGAACTTTGCCGCCCTCTCAGGAAGCCGACTGTCTGGGGGCCGACTGAGTGCTTTTGTGATTGAGTGCTTTCCTTGAGTTGTTCCAGTGCCTCCAGGGCAGAGTGGGAGGTCCCGTTAGGTGAACGCCCTGTTCCCGCCCAGTGTGGTCTGTGGCTTTCTCACCTATGGAGCAGGGTAGGGTTCGAACGTGCACTTGATCTGGTTGCCCACCAACCTGCCTTGTTGGAGAAGCAGTTGTAACTAGCCGAGTTGATGCTCTTTGCTGGGGTGGGAAAAGGCCTCAGCCCAAGAGCTTTGGCTCACAGTGTTAAAAGAAAAAAAATTGGGAGAGGTGGAAAGATAGATCCTTAATTCATGGTTTGTGTGTCTTTGGAAAACTTGCAATAATCCCACAGACTCTGGTCTTAAATTTGTGGGATCGGGGTTATTTGAAATTGCTCCTCACGTGTCTGACATGTAACCTGTGTTTTCAAAAAGGGTCTTTTCTTTTGGTGGAATGAAGATTTCGGTTGCCTTTAAGCAAAAACTTCCCTAAAATTTGTTCAACGAACGCAGATTTTGAGGGGGAGGGAGATAAAGGAAAGTTGTGCTCTTCACCATCCCAGAAGAGCCAGGCTACAATCACACTTCCTGCCTCCCTCGTGGAGGCAACCTGAGGACCCTCCTGAGAGCAAATCAGTGTGGATTGTGGTCCAGTTGCAAACAGCATAGGCGCAAATCCCAACTAGAAAGGGGGTTTGAAATTCCTGGATGACTATTGAACGCTGAGGCCCTCGGGTACGTTCTGAGAAGTTGGTCTGAGCACCAGGGAAGGTTGGTTGTGGTGGTAACCTTCTGTGCTTACGATTGTGTTTGTAGATCGCAGCCAAAATTGGAGGCGACGCTGCTACAACAGTGAACAACAGCACTCCTGATTTTGGTTTTGGGGGCCAAAAGAGGCAGTTAGAAGACGGAGGTAACTATAACTACCTGCTGGGAAGAAGGCCTGGGGGTAGAGTGAGGTGCCTTTGTTTGAACGTGGTTCAGAGTCAGGGGGAAGCCATTTGGTCTTTTAAAACCTCAGCAATCCCAGCTTTGTTCATTCTTTTTGTTCGGGCTGCCATCCTGGGGTATCAGGTGGCTGAGAGGAGCAGATTGATTGTGACTAGGTCCAAGTTGTAAGTTCTCAAGATTGTTCCTCCCCTTCTGGTAGGCTTGGGAAATGCTCGCGGTTTTGTTGAGGCCCCACATAAGTGCAGTTTGGCTGGCTCCAGGGCATGCAGTACTACCCACAGTAGCCAAAATGATCAGTGTGGGGATCAGGCAAAACCAGACTTAACACCTGGGCCCTTCCTGACCCCGGACTCTAGTGCCGCCATCATTGTTCCTGTTATAAAGAACTTTTTTACTCTTAAGTGCTAGTGGTGGGACTGATGGAAGTCTGGTCCCACTCCGGGGTTAGTCCCTGCTACTCTCCTGTCTTGGCTCTGATATGGGGGGTGGGGGAGGGGGGATTGTTTACCAGGCCGTGTGGCATCAGCATCAGATTTGAGGCAGCTGTGGGTGGGTGGGTGCAGCATCTGACATCCTCTCTCTTTCACAGACCAACCGGAGAGCAAGAAACTGGCTTCCCAGGGAGACTGTAAGTCCGTTGGGGGGTGCAGGCAGAGGGCAGCTTCAGGGTCTTAAGAGGTTTTTAGGATTTGGGAGCTAGAAGCTCTAAGCAGATGGCACCTGTCCTTTATGGAGGCTCTAGGTGCTTATCATCTGGGGTCCATGAGCTTTAGGGATCCCAGAGCCCCCTGGAGATTGAGGCAGACAGTCCGATGTGAGGCGGGTTCATCACACTCAAGTGCTCAGGAAGGCTCAGGAGCACTGTGATAGGTGCCAGCCGCTCCTCGGGCAGGCAGGGGTACCTGGGGGCCAGCAGTGTTCAGGGTCCCAAAGAGGAGCCAGGCCAATCTTTGCTTTGAATTTTCTCTCTGCAGCCATCAGTTCTCAACTTGGACCCATCCATCCTCCCCCCAGGTAAGTTGTGATTTGGAGGACACTTGTTTCCTTGTCTGTCAGCTGTCTCTGGCCTTTCTTGCTGACCTGGGGGAGAGCTGTGTCTGGGGGCTGCACCGTTTCGGACTTTGTCCCCGCTGCTTGGCCACAGAGAAGCCCAGGAGGCAGAAGAGCTGCCTTTGCGCCTGTGTGTGGGGCCCAGGGAGGGGCGGTCTTTGCGCCCTGTTGCTGCCTGCGCCGTGGGACACTCCTCGGGAGACAGCCGTCTTCCCAGAAGGGCTGGGGGCCGGCCGCGGCGTCCTCATCCGCCTTCCGCAAATGCTTGATCTCCGAGAACTGGTGGGGCCTGGGGTTCTCTCCTACCTTTTGCCGCCTCCCCAGCCCCCAATGACCTCAGTGGATCTGTTGTAGAATCCTTTGTGAAGGACCACGTTGTTTCTTTTTTCGCTTTTAAGAAATGCAGTAAAATTGGTTTGCTAGGGAGAGGACATGGAAGAGATACAAACCTTTTTTTTATTTAAGTCAAGAGACCTGAAATGATTGTCAGAATTGTGTAAAAGCGTCCAAGCGTTTGCTTTTGCCCAGAGTCTGTGGGGCCACGCTGACCCCGACCAAGCCTCTTGTGGCTTGCATGGGGAAACTGAGGCCTTGAGAGGTCGAGTGGCTTGCTGTGGGGAGAAGGAGCTCTGTGCTCTTGTCAGACTCTGCTTAGGCCTGTGGGGTCTTGGTCCCGATGTGGTGGGAAGCATGGGTAGAGGCCAGTAGCACCAAGGGCCCCACAGGTTAGGGGCTGTGGCTTTGAGGGGCCTTTTCTCCTGGAGACCCTCTGTTTATTCTGTCTCACTTGAGACCGACTCTTATCGTCTCTCTTTGCAGGACTTCAATGACAGAAGAGTACAGGGTCCCAGACGGCATGGTGGGACTAAGTGAGTGTGGGTCGCTGTGGGATGCCCGTTTTCCCTGTCTCTCAGGGACTGTGTTCTGGGAGCACCTGCTGGCCCAGGAGCTTTTGGTGTGAGAGGGCCTCCTGTACTGTGCGCTCACCTGTCCTCTCTGGGCGGGGAGGCAGGTGGAGCTCTCAGGAGGACCAGGAACCCCTGCCACATGGTCTTTTCAGTGCTGGGGTACCCTCATCAATTTCTGCTTTTTTTTCCCTTTTCTCCACGTAGTCATTGGCAGAGGTGGTGAACAGATTAACAAAATCCAGCAGGATTCAGGCTGCAAAGTCCAGATCTCGCCAGGTACGAGAGCCAGATTTGTGTCAGAATGGGCACTGGGCTGGGCTGGGCTCCTTGTACTTTTTTTTTTTTTTTTTAACAGTTCCCTGACGGGCAGAAGTGAGACAGGTTGGTGGTCACTGAGTGACCTCTAAGTGCCAGGCTCAGGGCAGAGTCTCAACCAGGACAGCACGGCATCCAGCAGCATAGCGGCAACTTTCGTTTTCTTTGGCTTCACAGTTGTGGGGGGATGGCTGAGGCGGGAGATCGAAGATTGAATATAGGAAGTTTTGCTCTAAACTGTTAGTTAAGTCACCATCTGAAGTAAACACCCAACAGGAAACCAGTGGGAATGTGTGAGGCAGGGGGATGCATTCGAAGGAATGGCTTTGAAACCCAGCCCGGGTTTGCACCCCAGTCTGGCTTCTCAGCTGCGCGCACCTGCTGGGCAGGGGTTTGTGAGGGCTGGCTCTAACCCAGTGGGGATTGTAGACTGATCATCGGTGGTGGCAGGAGTGGCCCCACTTTGGGACCTCACCTTCCGCCTCACATTTTTCCCTAAATGTTCTCCCTCCTTGACTGGACTCCAGGCTTCCCAGCCTTGGTCTTGCTTAGAGCAGCCTCCCAGGAGTCTAATGAGGGAGCGATTTGTCAGGCCGTTAATGGTGGTGCAGGCAGTAGCCGTTGTTCATTGTGCAAGTTTCACCATCTCCCTGGAAAGCCTTTCTCCAGTGTCCGTGGACCCGGGAGGCACTGAC